GGGGAGGGTGGGAGAGAGAGAGAGAGAGGAAGAGAGAGAGACAGAGAGGGAGAGAGAGAGAGGGAGAGAGAGGGAGAGAGAGGGAGAGCGCCCACAGCACACCCGGCTGAGCTGGAGGACCTGCCTTGATCACTGTGTCCGCTGTCATAAGGACACCGTCCAGGGCCTGTGGTGCCGTTGCTGGGCTGGGGGCCCCAGCATCCTGCGCCTTGGCACCCCGAGGCCGGGCCTGCTGGAAGATCTGCACGATCAGGAGGTCGATGGGGAACATGAGCAGGGAGCTCTCCAGCCCGACCATCACTTCCTGCCACGTGAACGCGACATCACCTGTGCAGGGCAGGGAAGGGTCCAGGAGAGGCACAGCCACAAGCCATCTCCCCTCCAGCCCTTCTAGCAGCTCCCAGAGTCCCGATGCCTCTAGAAGGGACCTGGGCCATGCCAGGGAGTCTGTGCTAATGGTGTGACAGGTGGTCCGGCCACACAACAACAGCAAGACCTCCGGAGGGTCAGGAGGTGAGGACAGCGGCGGTGACAGCACTCAGCCCCAAGAACACTCTGGGCCGCAGTGGCGTCCGGGAGGCAGGGAGCACTGATGTTCCCCGGCCACACCCCGGCCAGGAGGACAGCAGGTCTTACCCAAGTCCATCTTCTGCTCAGCGGGGTCCTTGGGGACCCCCCAGAACATGATGCTGGTCAGCATGGTGCAGAGGAGCAGGGAGAAGCAGCAGGACACCCTCTGGACCCATGTGAAGCGGCTGTGAGCCGAGCTGCTGAAAACTGCGGACGTCCTCGCAAAGAACAGGTGGCTGTGGGTGTAGAGAGAGGGAAGGAGTTCAGGAGACAGGAAGGGGCCGGGCGTGGTATCGCAGCACTCGGGGGCTGAGGCAGGAGGATTGCCGCGAGTTCAAGGCCAGCCTGGACCACATAGCGACACTGTCTCAAGAAAAGAGCAAAGTAAAGGGGATTTGCTTAAGAAGAAAGAATAAGTACCTGAACCGTGTCCTGTCCTGCTCCGTGGCCACTGGAAACACCCTGTCGAGGACGCAGTCTCCCACATCGATGGACAGCCACGAGTTGCAGAGGAAATACCACTTCTGGCCTGTCGCGGGGTCACGGACCAGCACCCGGCTCACGAACCTGGAGAAGGGACCATCGTGTGGAGGACAAGGTGAAGGGGTGAGCTGCCCTGGACACCAGGGCTAGCACTTTTGCAGACCTGAACCCCAAACGAGGAGCACCTGAAGAGACCACAGGTTCCTTCCATGCCCTCCGTGCCCGATCAGAATCAGAGCCCGCGGGGAGCTCAGGCAGCCAGTGTCAGAGCCAGCTTGGTGTGCAGGGAAGGCGCAGGAGGCACTGCTGGGACGGGAGCCCCTCGCTGCCCAGGGCCCTGGTCAGGGCAAAGCCAACTGGGAAGTGCAGGCACACAGGCAGGAGAAGCTGGAGCACACAGGACCTGATGCTGTCCAAATTCTGCCTGGATCGCAAAGCCACCCTCTCCCTGGGGCTCACGTGACCTGAGTCAGGTCTCCTCAGCCTGGGAAAGTCATGCAGTAGCCACTCTTGTCGCACAAGATGGGTGTGTCTGAGACAATCTCACTAGGTAGTTCAGCTGGCCTTGAACTCACTGTGTAGCCAGGCTGGCTCCGCCGCCCAGGCCACTGGTGTTGGCCTCAGACGCCGGGAGAACTTTGCTCTGGATGTGCGGCCACTGACCCTAGGCAAGTTCCAGGTCCACGCTGCCAAGGGTCACGGGTGGGGCTCACGCTGGACCCAATCTGTGCCCTCCGCCCCCACCCAGCTGCTGATGGACTGTGCGGGCCAGGCCCGGGCGTCTCAGACCTCGGCCTCATCACTGAGGTAGGGCTCCCTCCGTGTGGGAGCAGGGGCCTTGCCCCAGCCCGGTTTGGCCTCCTGCTGACTCACCAGGACGGGCGGTCTCCCGAGTTGTCATGCCATAGCCGGAGGCCCTGCAGTTCCCCCAGGGGGAACAGGGTGGACAGCAGGAAGAGGTCCACTCCTCCGCGCTCAAACCCAGGGGACGCAGGGTCCTCCAGGTGGTGCGGCTCGCTCTCTCCGTCCCGGCCGTACAGGGTGACGGTCACCTGCGATGCAGGACCAGGGTGGCCACCTCCACCCGGGAAAGGAGCCTGCTGGCCTTGCCCCATGGGAGGCAGCAGAAACCAGTGGAGACCAGTGCACACGGCCCTGCCCGCTCCCCTGTCCTCCCACCTCAGGCCACCTGAGCAGTTGTGGGTTCTGTTGTGTGCAGATTTGGGCGACACCTTCTATATCCGTGGCTTTGAGATCAGTCACACTCATAAAAAGCCTGCTGGCAACTTTTCAAACTCCTCCCTGGTTGTTGATTCATAGACTGATTTTTTGGTTTTTTAAAATAGGGACTAGCTGTGTAGTTCAGAGTGGCCTTCAACTTACTTAGCCCAGGCTGGCCTCCACCTTGTGGTGATCCTCCTGCCTCAGCCTCCCAAGTACTGGGATCATGTATGTATTTGTAAGGGCTGTAGAGCAGAAACTGTTTTCCTCCTAGCGTTTCCATTTTCAGTGTCTCTCAGTGCCAGGCAATGAGCCACGGTGGGGGAATGCCCATTACTCTGAAGTACATATTCTCTGGGCTCAGCCTGGCTCTACCAAATGTTTTTATTGGGAATCAGCCCACGAGTGTTTTCAGGCAGCGCAGATGGGCGGGCCTGCTTTTCTGATTGTCACAGCAGACCCCGCCCGCGCCCACCGCACCCTCAGCCCTGCCACACCGGGCTCCCCGCACCTCTGTCCAGCTGCCTCTTTCCTCTCAGCTTGATTTGGTCATGGGAGCAAAAGCCAGAAGATGGTGAATGGAGTCCATCCCAGGGAAAGCACTGGCACTCCAATCCTTGTTTCAGAGTCACTGCCCCAGCAGCAGTTTTCCCATTCCCATTTATTTATTTTTGTTTGGTTTTGGTTTTGTGAGACACAGCCTCCCTCTGTAGCCCAGATTGGCCTCAAACTTGCATCCCTCCTGCCTCAGCCTCCTGTGTGCTCCGGGGTACCTTGGAGGAGGTGGCCGCCCCTCGCCGGTGCCCGGTGTAGACCTTCAGCAGGTAGTGGTACTGAGCACAGGGGTCACTGTCCCCCAGCACGGTAATCTTCACCTGGAGGGAGACAGTGTCAGAGCTTTGCTCTGTGAGTTTACCCGCCCTAGCCAGCAGGCATTCAGCCCCGCGAGGGCAGAGCAGACTCAGGTGCTGCCCACCCATCCTGTCCATCAGTCAGCGCTGTGCTACACAACGTCGAGCCTTCAGCCACTGGACAGGTGACCCCGACCGTCCCTTGGAGAGCGTGTTTGGTTAGCACGGCTCTCCCAAGCATCGCTCGTTCCCACCAGTCTATTCTGGCCTTAAATACATTTGATAAAATTGTCATTTTGGGTTTTTTTAATTTATTTTTTTGTTTGTTTGGTTTTTGAGACAGGGTCTCGCTATGTAGTTCAGACTGACCTGGAACTCACTATGTAGCCCAGGCTGGTCTTGAACTCACAGGAATCCTCCTGCCTCAGCCTCCCGAGTGCTGGGATTACAGGTGTGCACCACCACACCTGGCAAAAATTGTCATTTTTGTATTTCCTCTTACATTATCTTCTAAAAATGAACACAAAAATATGCAAGTTTTGGTCACCACATATTTAAATAACTGGACTAAGTTGTTACAAAGCTCAAAGTACATTCTGTATTAAGTATGACCTTACCCAGTTATATTAGAAATGACCTTGATAATAATGTAAAAGTATCCATGATTGGTCTGCTGAATCACATACTTTTCACATGAAATGTCTCAGTGTCAGCAACCAGATTTGCTTTCAAGGGCACTTGTTTATTTGTTAACTTTGTTTGTTTGTTTGTTGTTGGTTTTGTGGGAGTAGGGTTTGAGACCGGATCTTGCTATATAATCCAGGCTGGCCTTGAACTCACATTGATCCTCCTGCCTCAGCCTCCTGAGTGCTGGGCTCATAGATTCTGAGGGCATTTAAAAGGGATGAAATATTCAGGTCATTCAGCCAAAAGAATCCATTCGCTGGAGGTGACCAGAGGCTGCTGTAGCCTCGGAGCTCCCTCCCTCCCCCACTGTCCCTGCTGCCAGGAGACCATCTTCAAGGACAAAGGAGGGTAAGAGCAAGACTGTGCTCCGCCAGGCCCCGGGGGCCGACTCCACCTCAGCCTGCGGCCTGCACGTAGAGGGCACCATCCAGTCGGCGCGTGAGGGCTGTGTTGCCATCCCGGGTGAGGGGCATTCGGAGCTCAGCCACAGTGGAGCCTTAAGTTCCCTCAGACACTGCTGAGCACTTGTCATCAAAGGCCTAGCACGGTCAAACACGGCGCATGCGGGAAAATTAACAACATTGTTGTCTCCAGCAACGGCAGCAGAGTCCACTGCTGTCTGATCTCATTTCTCAGACCCGTCTCACCCTCAGGCAGGCCTGGCTTTGAACCCCAGCTCCTGTCTGAGGACTCTAGCCCCGTTGTCATCCTCTTGGCCCTTGGCTGCCTCCTCTTGGAGACGACAGAAGTCTGTGCGATCCGGGGACGCTCAGTGAGCTCGGGGTCTCCAAGCCGCGCACTGCCCGGGCCCCCGGAAGCCCCGTCTGTGTCCAGGGTGCGCCCTGACTGATGGGGAGGTTTCCGAGCCCAGCCTGGGCCGGCCAGGCTGCAGCAGTCCGCTGGGGGAGGCCGGAGACTCAGAAGCTCGGGCAGGGGTGTCTCCCCCATGGGAATGGCTCCTGGGTACCCCAGGTCTGTCACACCTCACTGCCCTGGAAACTCTGCCCCACGGAGCTCAGAGAGAGGCCAGAAGCACTGCCCACCTCCCTCCATTCTTCATCGTTTTTAACCTGCTCCCTTTTGCTGTGAGGGACCAGGACCAGGAGTTCAGCTGCTTCCCTGAGTCCTGAGTCCTCACGGGCACCTGCTGCAAGGGGCTCCGGTAAGGAGCCGGGTGGGTGTCCGCCCTCCCTCCACACGTGGTCAGGAGCAAAACCATCCTGCTGATCTGAGGACGGGAGCGTGGGAGAGGAGCCCGAGGTTTTGGGTCCTTTGTAGGACGCACCTTGAGATTGTGATATTAAGTGAAATGAGTCAGACACGGGAACTTAAATGTCTCAGCGTTTCTCCTAACCCAAATTATAAGGAAAGAGCAAAGTAAAAGTAGAAAATAGGAAGCAGGGAGATAGATCTTTTGTAAGTGAGGAGGGGACCAAGAGATGGAGACAGGCTGGAGAAGAGGGAGGGCAAGGGCCCATAAAAAAGAATTATTGCTTTTTGAGACAGGATCTCTTTATCCCAATCTGGCTTTTGACTCATAGAGGTCCTCCTGCCTCAGCCTCCCGAATGCTAAGATCATAGGCATGTGCCAGCATTCCCTGCTCAAGAATGAAGATGTGTTACGTACATGTACTAACTGCCCATGACGAATGCGATCATTATGTCTTGCAAACGTGTACTAATAAAACAGAAATTGGGAAGAGGAGGCTGAGATTTCTAGGTTGGGGCGGACCAGGAGCCCCCTCTCCCCCTGGGCCCATGGCCTCACCTTGGCCCGGTTCTGCACATCCTTTCTCCTCGCCCAGATCGGCGCCAGCACGTAGAGCAGGCAGAGGCAGCCCACGGTGCTCACCACCACGGGGTTGTCCTCGAAGGTGGCGAAGAGCTCTGCTGTCCGGCGGGCGTCGATGCGTTGGGCATGACCAGGATGGTGCTTCCGAAGAAGGTGAGGGGGCTGCAGAGGCAGTGCGTCTGCGAGAGCGCGGTCCGCGGCCCCGCCTGCACCCCAGGGAGGCTGTGTGGG